ACTCATTTTAAACTCTACGTGTAGTTACATATTGCTCCTTTAAGTGATGATAACAAGTTAAAGATGACTTTGAGAATGCAATAGTTGGATCTAATGGTAATAGAGCCTTTCAGTTAAGAAGAGTTAAACCTCGTTCCCATCTTCTCATGAGGTAAGGTAGAATCCTTTTTCATCTTAATATGTCACAGATGGTGGACTTGAACTGATTGTTTGTGGCCTTTTGTCAAGTTGCTATGATGCATCAGCTAATCCTAAAAGAAGATACGTCAACAACTGGAAAGTTACATCTGTATAGTATTAGAGCCTGTGGAAGAATCCGTCCAAGTCTACATCTTCTCACAATTACTTTTTTGCACTCACCCTCTGGAATAAAAATCCACATGAAATTGCGAGTTAATGCAAATCCGGGAAGACTTTCACTTTTTCAAAGCTGCTCTTTTCAATTATTTTTATTAGCGTAGATAAAATGTGTGTAATGTGAATGTTGTCGATTGGAGTAACCACTCAGCAGAGATTAATCAGGAGCCTCAGTAGTTTCATTCAGCTCTATGGAGCGCAATACTGTATGATCTAAAATATTAAGTTTTATTTTAACAGTCTGCAGCCGCCCATAGCTAGGCAGCTCTTAGGTTAAAATTAATCTTTTATCTTTTAATTAACATAAAATACATTTTAAGTTTTATGTTAACATGCCAATGTGCTGCTTGAAATATCGAAATAAGTAAACTATAAATAAGTTAATTATAAGCTTTCTTTACAATGACTATCTCTTTACAATGTGGAAATATAATCTGAAGAAACGTTAAGATTTCTCTGTCTTCAGGCTTCAGCATCGTGAACATGACAAACTTCTCTGTCTCATTTATCCGTTATTTTGTGCTGCAGAATAAAAAAGGATCTCATAAGATGCCATTACCAAGAAGTGCTCTGAAAGAATAAAAATCCATATATCTCAGTAATATAAAAAAAATAGAAAATCAATTCTTTTTTGTTCCCTCCTGTATGGAATGGTAGAGATTTCTTCCAGAAATGTTTTTTTCAATTTATCTTATCACCTTTTTCTAACATTTTTTTGCAATTTCTTGTCAGCCTGGGAAGAGCCAGCTTCCTTTCACAGCCTCTGAGCAGCAGCTGATGTTGTTGTGAAATAACATTTGGTGGAGTTGGTCTGCCAAGCCAAGGCTCATCATTTAGCTATGATGCAAACTTCTGTGATGAATGTTCTACTGCATTTTTTGACAGAAAAATAAAACACACCATCTACTCTTCTGACCAATCAAAGCTCTTTTACACTACTTGTCACATTCCCCCATTCAGACCACATTGCCAAACTGACAAGTAGATGATGTCACGTAAGTGATAATCAGTATATACTAAGGATGAACCTGCTAACCAGTTAAACTATTAACCAGTTAACTGGTCAAATGATTAACTGGTTAACTGTGATTCATTAAAACATCATGGTTAATCAATCGTACAGGCACACTACACTGAGTCTTCGGTAAATGGACTTGAGCTTTTCTAGTCTTCTGACAACTCAAAGCGTTTTTACACCACAGGTCACACCTACACATTCACACACTGAACGCAGAGGTTGCTATGTAAAGTGACCATCAGAAATAACTACTCCCATTCATACACATTAATACATTGCCGACGAAGCAGTGGGAGCAACTTTGGGTTAAGTGTCTTGCCAAAGGACACATCAGTGATCAGTCAGCATTTTGTCAAGTTGGTGTCAAAATTGTGTATCAATAAAATTTAGAACAAAGTTTACCAAGAACTGTCAAATACAGAGCGAGTTGTGTTAACAACAAATGCCTCCATGTAAATTCATGTGACAGAGAAATTATGAAAGGAGGAGTACATGGGAGGGTACATGTGGGGAACATGGGGGGGGGGTACATGTGTAGACCCATGAGCCTGCTGTTAGCCCTCAGCAGTTCCACTCCAGCAGTGGGGTGTTAAGTACCCTGCTCCGGGGCTCTTTCATGGTGGCTGCTGAGGGACAGCAGTGTGTGTCACCTTCTGTGCTGAGATTCTCCCTGCTGGTGACGGTTGCCAAGTGATTGTACTCCCAATACACTGTTAGAGTGAAGAGGCATTTATACTTAACCTCCTTAACGTTCAAGAACTGTCTAAAACTGTCAATATATTATAATGATCAAGGTGGTTAACTCTGTAGTAACACGTGTCTAAATATTTTGAAGCATGACACATGAATTTGCTTTGTATTTTTTAGGTGCTTTGAAACATTTTTAAAATATTTGAAGCACAATAGTTTACCCATTGTCAAAAACGTTTTCATTCCTGTTTTAAGTGGAGATGCACGATCCACTTTTTTTTCAGTTCTGATCTTTCAGGTTTCCGATACATATGTACCAATGCTTTTATATCTTAAGGATTAATGTTATTGTTGTTGTTACGTGTCAGGCTGCAAAAAGCTGTAGTAATCCCAGCACTGCAGTGTGATGTCTTCACATACAAACAGGAAGCAGCAGCAGCTTTCAGGTTTTCCAAATTAAATCTTTGAAACTGAAGTTTAAGAATTATACTTTTAATCATAAAGAAGGAGTTCTCCCTTCTCGTCTGAATGTCGTCATGGAGACGATTTGTGAGCACTTCTTATAGTTCAGTCTGAATGTCTGAGCGATGAGAATGTTTTTTTGTGACCAACCATATTTTGTGATCAGTGACGTTGAATAGCGCCGTCCGATATTCGATATCCAATACATAAATTACTTCAAAATCAGACCCGATACTGATATGAGATTGGATCGGCCAAATCTCTAGTTTTAATTTAATGCTGTTTTGTTTTTTCATTTGATGAAGAACAAAGGATTTTCTCATTTTCATTTACCGACATAAATCCTGAATATGCATGGACGCACCATCACCAGTCATGTCTTAAATACAAGCCATAGTTGTAAATTAATCGTTGTAATAAATTCCATTTCATGCAGAATCACCAACCAGCTGATGGACTGTCAGTAGTCCTTTAAACCTCCAACCTCTCTGACCTAAACAGTCGGCCTTCTTCTTCTTGAGGTCTGGGCTGTATATCAAGTTTTTAAGATATAATATAGTTTATATTACATTAAAATAATGTTATGTGTTTCTTCATTAGAGCCCCAGTTCGCCTGTTTCTCCTCTCGCTGTCTGTCCTGCCCCGCCTCTCTCCCTCTCTGTATATGAAACTTCAAAAACCGACTGAATAACAAAAAAAAAAATTTCACAAACGGGTAGTTACATTTCATATTATTTTTCATGTGCATGTTGATATTGTGCATCTGGCTGTCTAGAAAAGCGCCTCTGTGACATTTGAGATATATATAGTAAAAAGAAAACGGTAAATGGACTTTTCAGTCTACTCAAAGCGCTTTTTCATCACGTCACAATTACACATTCACACACTGATGGTAGAGACAGCTGTATAAAGTGTCCATCAGAAGTAACTCATCCCATACAGAAAAAGCAGTGGGAGCAACTTGGGGTTAAGTGTCTTGCCCTAGGACACATCGGACATATGGCTGCAGGAGCTGGATTGGATTTTTGGTCAATATCACCCTGCCCTAGTCAATAGCAGGATCATTTCATTATTAACATCACATTTAACATTTCAAGTTATAACAATTGCAGCATCTTTAAAAGACGTATCATTTTTCATCTCAGACGAGGTTTAACCAGGCAAAGATATCCTACCTTGAACTGGCAGTCACACGTTCTAAGAGCTACAAAAATGTTCAGTTGGGTCTAAGAACATGTCAATCAATGATTCAATATTAGGGGTCCAATCATTTGATCCCTGGTTGCTCCAGTCCAGAATCGCAAAACCTCCCAAGAGAGACATTTCAGTCAATATAAGATAAGATAATTTAATTTGGCTGAGATTCTGAAACATTTTTAAACACACACGCTGAAGTTAACATAAATATAAAACATTTATTTATTTTTATATATATAAATGTTTTATTTTATTGTTTTAATATGTACTTTTATTCTAAAATGTGTAAAATATTACAGCTATTACAATATATAACAGTTTACTATGGATAATACTGTTACTATTGTGTTTCCAAACTTTTGACTGGTAGTACACATATATATACTCATTATATTATAAGATAATAATGTAATAATATAATAGGACTAATCAATATTTGATATATTTATATTCAGATTTATTATTTGTATTATTTAATTACAAAGCCACGGCTCTACAAAGGAGACACTGTAACTACTGGAAGCAGCACCGAATGCAGAATGGAAAAACAACACGTATTATTAATTTAAAAGATCATTCTGAAATCAGACAAAGATAGGTTATATATTTTAATAAGGCTATTTAAAAAAAAAAAAAACTATTAATTTAATTCACAGTTGCATACCGGCAAATCAAGCCCACACACTAAATGCACATAAACACACGTGGGAAATTAATTAAAGCTCCGCTGACGTCCCAAAATCATTCCTCTCTCTCTCTCTCTCTCTCTCTCTCTCTCTGCTCTCTCTGTCTCTCTCTCTCTCTCTCTCATGTGTCCATGACATCCTGTGCTCCTGACAACAGACCGACCACCACCATCAGCAGCAGCAGCTACAACTCACCTAAACTCTGTTGACCAACATTGTCTAAGATCAGATCTTTCCAGTCACAGTTCTGTTGCCTGACATAAGGATACCGTCCACTGACATTGCATTATTTCTCCATAAATCTGCGGAGAAGCCGGCGTTACTCTGGGTATATTGTGCGTATGCAGACTACGTCTGGAGCAAAAACGGCAGCTTTAAGGTGACAAAGGGAGACGGTCTGCACGATTTCTGAGAGACTCTCTTTGGCTGCCTTTCCATCTCCCCCAAAAAGAAGAAAAAAACATGAAACCATTGATTTGAACTCCAAAGCAGGGCTGCCGTGTCCGTCCATTCACCAATTTAACCTCGTTAATTTAATATAAACACAAATAACTCACAGTGAATCTTTAAGCAGTGTGTCCAGGACTTACCATGGTTGTTCAATCTCCCAGTCTCTGAAAAAGTCGAACTCAAACAGATCCATTGCTTTGCTTCAGCGCTGCTTCTGCTTCTGCCGCTGCCGCTGCTGCTGCTGCTGGTGTTTAAAATCCGAAGCTGGTGCTACGTGGTTCTACATGGGCTCCCTACTGCTTGTGTGAGTGTGTGACAGAAAGAGAGGGAGAGGAGGCAGAGTTGAGACAAGCGGCGGCCGCTGCCAGGAAGCTGCTACGTGGTCGAGGCGAGCTGACAGGCGGGCAGAGGTGGAGGGAGGGAGGAGTACAAATACAGACTGAGAAGAGCTGGGGAATACACTGATATATTCATAGCAAACATTTCCCCCCTCACACGAAGAGCTGTGTGCCACAAATTCTTGAAAACAAAAAAAAAACGTCATTCTATTGAAAATTGTGACACTTCATATGTTAAATGTTTAAAATAATTTTAATACAGTCCAAGTTACTTTCTATTTATCAGCTGTTAAAGTAATCAATGGAGTATCGTTTTCTTATAAGACAAATAGAATTGAGAATCGTACACTTCATGATCTTAAGATGTGTGATTTAGTTTGATTGTAATTATTTTTGCTGTAGTAAGCTATTCAAACTCTAAAAAACCTGTGTGAAATTCCCTTGCTTGCTGAGCTATGCTCCTTTGATCCACTTCAACTTTATTGTCCTCCAGGGACATTTGGTTTGCAGCCATGTCAAAACAATAAACATATAGAAACACAGGCACATAGACTCAGACAATGGAAACAACATACACAGTGAACAACATTAAGTACATAAATAGTCCTACTAGAGCTCATCAGTTAACAAGGGCTGCATGGTGGTGCAGGGGTTAGCGCTGTTGTCTTATAGTGAGGAGGTTTCTGGTTAGAATCCCCATCAGCCTCCCTGTGTTGAGTTTGAATGTGTGGGTTCTCTCCAGGTACTCTGCCTTCCTCCCACAGTCCAAAGATGTGCTGTTTAACAGATGGCAATATTAAACCCTAACCTTCCAGTTGAGGAAACACAGCTGTCCCAGCAGCAAGATCTACAGTCTATAAACCTGTTTGCTCTAAATATATATATATATATGTATATATAATATATAATCTGCTCTTTGTGATCTTTTGTCATCGCAGTGCTTCATTCATTTTAATTCAGCGCTACTATAACCACATATCTGTTTCAGTAATGGTCTGCTTATCCAGTCACTGTCTGTATCTGCTGTGCTTCACCTGCGACTAAATAAAGGAATAAATGTCTCAATTACTAATTCTGTGTGTCTGTGTGCGATGGGTTAGATCTGTTTGATTAGCCTCTTTTGATGATTTCAAATCAAACATTGGTAGCCAAGTTACTTCATGCAACCAGATCTTTGTCTCAGATCAGCCAAGGTTACAGTAACAACAACACATGCAACCCACTGTGGGTCACACACTTATTGCAACACATGCAACCCACTGTGGGTCACACACTTGCTGCAACCCTCTGTGGGTCACACACTTATTGCAACACATGCAACCCACTTTGGGTCACACACTTGCTGCAACCCTCTGTGGGTCACACACTTGCTGCAATCCACTGTGGGTCATACACTTATTGCAACACATGCAACCCTCTGTGGTTCATACACTTATTGCAACACATGCAGCCCACTGTGGGTCACACACTTATTGCAACACATGCAGCCCACTGTGGGTCATACACTTGTCAACAAATGCCCAGGGGAACTTGTGACTGGACATTTGGTTCCTTTAAAAATTCCTTCAACCCACAAGCATGTGTGTTTCTTTTCCTTGAATTGGAAGAGCACAAGAAGTCTAAATGTATTTAAAGTGATGTTTGAAAATACTGGCTGTGTGTTCGTGTGTGTGTGTGTGTGTGTGTGTGTGTGTGTGTGTGTGTGTGTGTGTGTGTGTGTGTCTGTCTTTGTTTAGGATGGTGTGTCACTTTGTTTATGTGTGTGTGGTTGTGTGGTTGTGTGGTTGTGTGTTTGGGTCTGGTCTGGGGCAACATGCCAACACTGCTCTGCATCACACAACCAGAAGGAACAGCAGCCTGAGCTGAGAAGACAAGAAGAGAGGAGAGCTAACCACAGCATGATGCAATACTGTCTGAGAGTGTTAGATTATGACCTTGATCAATTTCACTTACATCTGACATCCCAAATCAAAATTTCAGACATCTTTTTGGACTTTAGAGACTCTACATTCAACCAATAGTCAAGGATTGTGTGTGTGTGTGTGTGTGTGTGTGTGTGTGTGAGAATAAGAAGGGCTGTCCAAAATTAGGTCAGACTCCGGGAGACAGAATGACTAGAGAGAGGGAGAAGAGAAGACGGAGAGACACGGCAGAATGTAAAAAAGGAAATGAAGGAAAAGCTAAAAAAAGAGTGAGATAATAAAAAAGACAGCAGTATGAAGATGAATCGTGGTAAGGTCAAATGTACAGAGAGCTCCACACAAAAAGTCAATGCCCACTCATTGCACAGTCATTACAATCAGAGTATATGTTTAGAGATGTTCTATTGTCTTTGCGAAAAGTGGTTTGCAGAATGGTTAAGGCCACAGCTGTGTCAGTTATTCATATTTTAATGACAACACAGAGTGAGAGTCTCACACACACACACACATACATAGACACTTGGCTGAAAAGAAATACAAACTGCTAAAATAGTCATGAAGGACCAAGTTCTCATATTCAGCTCATTACACTTGCTGTGTATCTTGCAGATTTTTTGGGAGTGCGTGTCATGAATTTTCAAAATGTGTCTAGACTTTCTCTCGCTTCCAGCTCCATGAAAGTTGCAGAGAATCAACGCAGTGCCACAGCTCCCCCCTGTGGATTAAAGTAAGTATTAGAAGATGATACAACATTGATGTTCCATCATGTTTAAAAAAAATGGACTTGGTAAATGGACTTGAGCTTGAATAGTTCTTGTCTAGTCTTCTGACTACTCAAAGCGATTTTAAAGCTGAGGTCACAGCTTTTCATTCACACACTGGTGTCAGAGTGACCATCAGAAGTAACCAATCCCATTCCTACACATTCAAACACTGCCGTAGAAGCAGCGAGAGCAAATTGGGGTTACTGTAAGTGTCTTGCCCATAGACCTACTGGACATGTAGTTTCAGGAGCTGGGGATCAAACCCCCAACCTTCAACCCTCAGTTGAGAGATGACCGACTCTACCATCTGAGCCACAGCCGTCTAGTGCATATCTCAAGTCTATTCTACCTTTTGTCTACTTCACTCTTGTCAGTACACATGCATCATGATTTTGATTCAAAAAAAGTTGTCCAGCCTAAAACGTTTTTTTTTAACCTGCAGTGTAGTGCTTTGAGAAGTCAGAAGACTAGAAAAGGGCTATACACGTCCATTTACTATTTACTCATTTAGATTCATGATATCAGCCTGAGAGCTTGTCCATTGCCACGTTTGACTTTTAATTGATAACTGATAGTAGTCCTTAAACTCCTTTAAAGGCATACATCAGCCAGAGCTCTGGGAGAAAGAACAACTTTTATTCATCGAAACAGCTTGCATACAAAAGATATTGCACTATAACCAGACATGTCAATCCAAACATCTTGAATGCTAATATGTACAAAAGGAAAAGAAATGCCCCAAAGTGCACACACGTTTTACAGCTTTTTGACTACATTGGTTTAAGTGTCTACAGATTATCTGTGTCTTCACTTCTTGACCGTCTACTGATGAACATCGTCACTGCAGAGGCTACTAAGTGTTCGTGTTATATACACTCAATGACGGTTCAGATCTCCTGCAGACTGGCTTACAACAATAAGCAAAGTTTTGGGTTGTCTTTTGTTGGTCCTACATAAAGCATGTTACAACCTTAGTTTGACTGAAGTATATTATAGCAGTATATTGAAGGTCACGTCAGTCCAATGGCCTGTTTTCAATTTGAGCATCCTATGGGGATGAACAAGAATTATTGTCATCCAGGCCAAATGCAGATGCCCATCCCAATGGAAATTGGGTACCAGATTTAAAAAGAACAGAGACAGCTACAGTGCCATTATTTGCTGAAAATACTCTTAATATACCCACGTCAATGCCCATCTTTGATAAATCAAATTTAATTTCATTGTCTGTTATTTCAAGCCTGATCAGAAAAACGATGGTGAAAAGATCCAAATTTTCTCAAGACACAAATCTGTAATCCAGCCTCCCACCTCCTTTATCTGTTGAGACCAGATGTTGTAGCTGAAATAAGAAAAGTTTTAAGAAAGTTTAATGTGGAAAAAAACTCATTGATCTCATCTGTTTCAATGACTTTACATTATACGCAGTACCAGTCATTGATTTTTTAATGTAATGTATTATTATTTAAGAAGTTTCATTTACGTTACGTGAATCAGACTTTTGAATCACTCTTACAAAACCTTTAAAGGTCACATATTGTACAAAATACACTTGACCATGTTGTTCTAACACTAATATGTGTCTCTAGTCTGTCTACAAACCCCCCAATGATGAGAAAAGTCCATCCTCTCTGTCTTTTGCCTGCTCCAATTTTCAGAAAATGTGAGCTCAAACAGGCTGTTTGGAGATTTTCCGTCATGACATCACAAAGGGAAGTAACCCCTCCCTCAGGTGGGTGACATTCCCACAGCTAGGTGTTTGTTCTGCCCTCTGAGTCTGCCTTCTCTTTGTAAACTATAGGGCATGGAGCGATAAAGCCTGAGCCACCCAAGCCCTTCCAGAGAGGGGCGTGGTCTAACACAGCTCATTTACATTTAAAGAGGACATATTATCCCCCTTTTTCCACCTTTTCAAACAGTCCCCTGTGGTCTAAATGAAACATCTGTGCTGTGCTTTGGTCAAAATATAACATGAATCAAGCACCAGAGGAGGTTTGTGACCCTGTATAAACCAGCTCTCTCAGAATGTTCCGTTTTGGTGTGTGTGTCTCTTTAAATGTAACGAGCCCCCCCCCCTTGAGTTTTCCCGGTAGACATCACTCCTCTGTAGCAAGAATTAAAATGGCAGACCTGCGCTAAAGTTTTGTTCTAGGCTGGGGGTGGAGTCCATGGGTGGATGTATCAGGGGAGGGGAGGGGTGATGTCACAAGGAGAGCAATTTTTTTCTCTGTGTAGTAAGACCACAAACAAAGGACTGGATGGGTTTATTTCACATTTTGTGGGTCTGTAGACACTCAGGTTACCCACATAGATGTTCAAAAAAACTGTAAAAGTGAATTTTTCATAATATGTCCCATTTAAAGGTACAGACACAGAAACAGCCTGTTCTGAGCCGGGCTGAAATAGAGGTCTGTAGACATGACATTATAAAATACAGGATCAGAGTGGATTTAGAACAATAAACTTCACAGACATGTTTTTGGGAGCTCTGAGACTAATTTAAACTGGTTGAAAAGGAGGATAATATCTGACCTTTTGTAACATAACAAAGGGTAAGGTTTTTAACCTGCTCTTTTGTAAAGTGTCTCGAGATAACACTTGTTATGAATTGGCGCTATAAAAATAAAGATGAATGTATCTTTCTGTGAAAGTTTGTCTGGCCAAGCAACAGTAGCTAACGAGGGTGGGGATTAGAAGTGGGTGATTCCTGTGTGGGGTTTTAACTTCAGAATTATTTACAGCCTGGACCTTCTCCATCAGCTCACAATGTTTCTGCAACACCATGGACATTTGAGGATAATTCACAGCAGTATGCGTTTCAACCTGACAACAGAGAATAGTTTGAGTAAACTTCATGGAGATAATATCAAGAGCTGTAGCATTTATCTTTGATATAGATCAGGATAACTGGAAACAATAGTACAAATCTTTTCTCAGACAAATAATGACATCATTATATACAGTACGCCATCATCGCTTCCTTTAGGTTACTCACTTGAGCAATCTGTTGATGCTCTGCATAAAATGCTTACTGGGAGAAAATAAAAACTGCAAGATGGCTGTAGTGTGCACAGTAAGTTTTAGAGCTAAGGCAGATTGATGGGAAAGAAATCAAAACAAATCAAACATTTGAGAAATAATAAAAGAAACGCGTGCCACATAACAGTTTCTTTAGTCATTTTCTAAAGGTTGAATGTTTTCAGTGTGTCATTGATGCTTGACGTAATTAAAGTAATACTAATTGAATAAACTTATCTTACGTATACATTTTTTTAAACGTGTCAGATACCATAGAATATCCTAAATGAAGAATCAATATGGGCATGCATTGCACAACGAGAAAGGTATGATCTTAGCTAAAGAAATGGCTCCACTTTAGAAGTCTTTTAAGTTCACCACCTTAATCAGTGACTGGATGGGGTAAAAAGGAATGAAGTTACACTTGGAAAATATACTTTTCAACCTAGATAACATTTTTAAAGTTTTTTTCTGTGGAGAGATGACTACCAATGACTTTGGAAAGAGGTCAAGGGTCATGAGCTCTACTCGTCTCAAAACAAGGATGTGAATCCTTTCGATATCATGCTATATGAATACAAATGTCCGTGACAAATCATTCAACCAGGACGTACGCTACAAGTTTATATTTGCTAACGTCATATACAACCCTGAATACAAAGCCTTCAGTGTTGAACAGGGTCAGGGCAAAATCACCAATACTGATATCAGCCACTCTTTGAGTTGGAGTTCAGATAGATGAGGTTTTGGATAATACAAACTAGTGAGAAAACATGACATATCAGCACAAAGTAGCTTTTATACATCAGGTTCATCGTCTACTTCAATCATCCTGATTGACATGTGTCAACTGTTGAACTAAACAACTAAACAAAGTTAAAGGCACAGTGCACACAATTAGGAGATGTTTCTCTGAGTGTAGGAAGAGTTTATTTATGTGTAAATCTTATAAGGTCTGTTTTATTTGATTACCACTATGCTTTAAGCAACTGTTGAAGATGAGCCACAGTGGCTAATTTTAAATTTGAAGTCAGGTATCTGTTTTTGTCTGCTTGGTTCAAAGTATCAGAATTATTCTAAAGTTACTTTATTCAATGGTAAGAAAATAAATGTTTAAAAGGATTAGAAAATGTTTTATTACTTGCAGAGGTAAATGAAAAGTTTGATATCACCTTGATTTAAATGGGAGGCCTTTGCCGGATCAAAGGGTATAGGTTAGCGTAAAAACTGGAAGCATGCAGAAGCTTATAGGAAAAATACCTCACACTAAGATTCAGTCTCTAAAACCATAGATAGTAATTCTAAATATCAGGTTGTTTACAGTTCAAACAAACAGGATGTAATGATGTGGGTAGTTAGCTTTAGAAGAAATGCAGGTTAGAGGTCCCATACTATACAAAATACACTTTACCATGTTTTTATAACACTAATATTTGTACACAGTCTGTCTACAAACCCCCCAATTATGAGAAAAGTCAATCATGTCTCTATTTTACCTGCTCAACTGTTCAGAAAATGATTTTCCTTTCATGACATCATAATGGTAGTAACCCCTCCCACAGGTGGGTGACACTCCCACAGCTGTTTCTTCTACCCTCTGAGTCTGCCTTTCCTCTGTAAACCATAAGGCATGGTGTAAGAAAGCCAGAGCCACCCACGCCCTTCCAGAGAGGGCGTGGGTGTCAAACACAACTTATTTGCATTTAAAGGTACAGACACAGAAACAGCCTGTTCTGAGCAGGGCTGAAATAGAGGGGTTAATAGGCATGATCAAATACAGGATCATAGTGGATTTATAACAAGAAACTTCACAGACATGTTTTGGGGAGCTCTGAGACTTATTTAAACTGGGTGAAATGGAGGACAATATGTGACCTTTAAAATAGACTGAGGCGAAGTAGGAAACATTCCTGAGCTGTGACCAGTCAATATTTGACCTTCTACTTGGAGACGCCCTGTTCTCTGGACTAAAGAGGAGAGGGAGCATCCGGCTTGTTCTCCGCGTGACTGGTCACCCATTGAAAATATCTGAAGCGTTATGAAGTGTAAATAAGACAAAGGAGACTGTGAAATGCTGATTCCGCTAAATTATGCCACAGTGCTTAACACCAACCTATCCCATTAAAGTTCCTGGCATCAAATTGAAAACAGGCGTATCATTACACAAACGTTGTCTTTATGCTATTTTCATTCAATTATGTGGTTGCAATCGACCTCATTCCCTAATGTATGTGTGGAATCATCTAGCTCTGCTCATAAAACTGGTGCATATGCAAAATCACTGTCAGATTCATGACGTGCACACCGGCCAACTTGTGCTCACCACCTTGCGTATTGTAAGTGAATCCACCTGCAATCACTATACTCTCAATATAAGGACATCCGACTGGTGTATCAGGACGTGAGTGGTTAGGTGAAGACAAGTAGAATTTGCCGTCATGTATGTACCCTGCATGCCCTTAAATAGAATACCAATTATTTTGTTTTGACAATAGCTGCTGGATGTCATGGCACTGTTGGTGTGAGTGGTCGGCGATTTAATGAACGTCAAAATTGTTACATTTGAATGCGTACATTGTCATAATTTATTGTAAGCTAAGTTTTTAATTTAAGATTAAAGATTTGAAGTATAATAAGGATGAAAAGGCGTCAATTTCATGGTTATTTGATTCATTCAATCAATGCATCATTAAATTCAAGGTTGTAATTATTCTTGTCTATTAAATGCTTTTTTTCAACTGAATGTAGTATTGATATGTTGTGCATTAAGTTAAAAGGAAGTGTTCACATTTTTTCTAGTCCAGCATTAGTGCGTACGCATGGATTCAAGGATGTTCTAACTTTGTTCGCAGAGTAAGAACATCCTGATGAATCTCAGATTTGTGCGACAAATGGTTTAAGCAGATTTGTATGTGCGCACTGTGTGTGAATTAAACATTTTAGGAATTTGGATTGTAAATACATTTTTTTAGAATATCAAAGTTATCCCACACCAATGTTTCTACAAGAAATAAGTCAAAGTGAATCAAACATGCAAGAAACAACCTTGTTTGAGTTTCACAAAACCCTAGAGAGAAATGGAATATGAATGAAATGGAGGACCATAAATCCAAGGCAAAGATGTCCAAACAGAAAGAAGCCCCGACTGTGGCTCAAACATTTGTAAATGAGGAGATTTCACAAAGAGGCTCAGATATCGAGTCATGTGGATGAGACTCAGTCGCTTTATTACACCTGACTTTAAACTCTAGCTTGGGACGGTTTCAGAATACTTGCTCAAGCTGTAAGTTAGTCAGGTGATATGCAACATCGGGTACTGTAGGAGCAGGAAGGAAATGCACAGGTGAAATCTTGCATGCAAAACAAGAATGCATTGCAACTTTTATGATCACTGAACAAGACCTGAATTTATGGTTTCAAAGATAACAATTTATTGTGACTCAAAGTCAGAGACCCTCCTCTCTATTTACACAAAAATAGCCAAGAGAAAAGAACAATATAAGATGAATGACAACAGTTAGATAAGAAGGCTTATCAGCCCCACATCAGTTTGAAAACCAGGAAGAGAAAAGCTGAGAGCAAAGGTTTATTTAGTAAAGGTATACGTCGGTGAAACGTTTCTTCTACAACACTTCAAACAGGTTCTCTAGCTGCAAAAAAAAAAACAGTGAAGTACAAAAAGTTTGTATAAATTAAAGAAAAGCTTCTGTGATCACCCAACTACATTCATGATGATGCTGCCTTAATCTTTCAACCTCATCAAGTTTGTCTGAGAAGCGAAATGTCACTGTACTCATTAAGATGTAGAACAGATGTCGATCTAATCAAGCAAAGAAAAGTCCAGATCACAGGCTAAGCCTTCTCGGTGTGAAACCCCCCAGTAGAGACTTCAAAAGGCTCCCATCAGTCTAGTGGGGGATTCTTTTAACCGGCCGTTTCCAAGGAGATATTGAAAAATAAGCCCCTCCCTGTATAAAAAGGAGAGCCAGTGCAGAAGGGTACTACAAACATACTGTATATCAGAACATATGTATCACAACAGCTTGGATTCTCTGTACAACAAAGTTTTATTGATGACTGTTTATTTAATGACTGTACACTGTTTGGGAATATAAAGTCTGAATCTGTGTTCTAGACATCTTATACTGAATTGATTATTCCTTTAGCGGTGCTACATGGTATGAATTATTCACATTTACAGTAGCTTCTCTTCTCTTTTTTGTGTTTGTTTGATTCCCATAATTGTGGATGCCAATCCGTAGAGCGTTACTGATGTAAACTACTCATCCGTGTCAGCACAGATATGTTTGAAGCAGGAATAATGCTGCTGCCTCATATGTGTTCTGAAGAAAATATTTAAAAGGAGTCACGTATGACTGCAATTGATCCGTGTTCACAGTTTCACCCTGGACAGAAGAAGCTCGCGAGGAATGAATCCATAAATAAAAACAATTGAATCTTCTTTCTGTATAATCCTCATGCAGCCTAACTTCAAACATGTTTACAGTAACTTTCTCGGTCAGCTTGGAGAAGACATTTAGGCTGTTTCCTATCCCACCAGCCCCTCTGAGGTCTGTGCTGCAGGTTCTCAATACAACAAGGGGTCGGAGTCTGTGGGGGCTAAATGGTCCCTGTTTCATCAGTGCTCACATACAGAAGACAATTTAAAGTGAATTCACAGGGACTGTTGTCTTAGTCAGCTGATCACATGAAAAGTAGAGCCCGACCGATTAATTAGCCAGCCGATAATATCGGCCGATATGAGAATATCCAGTGAATATCGGTATCGGCTAATCTTATCGCATGTATGCACTGATATTACTAGATTTATTCATCAATCAAATAGCATTTAATTTGAGTATCATTGTATTCAACTAGTAGCTCTCTTTCTAGTTGTCACCAGCAGAGTGCGCTATATGGACTACAACAAGCATCATCACTCTCCAGAGTGTCAAGCAGTGATGCACATATATGGTTACTCTCCAGTTAAGTGACCATCTTGTGTTTATTTTACATCTTTTCCACAAGTATTTGATAATTGCATTTGAAGGATTTACACAATAAACGTGTACATCTATGTCTTTCGATCTCTACAGATCTAAGAAAGATGTCAGCCGATACATCTATATCAGGTTTTTTAACTCCTCGATATCAACATGGCTATCGGCCCCAAAGATCCCATATCGGTCGGGCCCTAATGAAAAGTAATTCATTTGAAAAGGAACCCTGGTAACTGACATTTTGTAGCCCGTTGGAGTGTCTGAGTAGTGGGTATCTTTCCCTCTGCTGTGCCTTAGATTTATGTCTCCACATTGGTCTAGTATGTTGCTGAATGAAAGCTTGGTCACACAGTCGGGGAGACTGAAATTCTACATAACTGAGTTAACAAAACACAGATGACATCAATGATGGAACAAGTACTTGTTGAAAAATTCATTGCCTTTGCATACCTGTGTGCATTTCGATCTGCAACATTGAAACTCTCTCCTCTTTGCTGATCCCAAAGGCAATTAGGATTTAGACACAATGATCAGGGCTAGAAGAACTATCTTAAAAAACAAAAGAAAGAGGAAAAAGCTAAGTGCTGAAAACATCTTCTCTTAGTCTGGAGGATCCGGGTCCCCCCCCGCCCCCACCCCCACCCCCCAACGTCTCAAGGTGACACCAAAACACATCTGCAACTTCTGAAAAAAGGGGTTTTGGAATGAATCAAGAAAGTTTCAAAGTCTCTCTGGAAAAGCACCTGGAAGTTGCTGAATGGACTTTCTTCTCAGCAATGTTCTGTTACGATTGCCAAGTGTTGGGGGGGCAGTAAACATCTCCAGCCGACACACAGTCAAAGTGTGCCGTGGGAGTGGCACATTTCATCCTGCTCACGTTTTTTGACGTTAGCTATAATATGAGTGCATCAAGTTATTTTCTCTTCTTTAATTCAAATCCTTTTCTGGAAGGGCCGTGGGTTCTTGTTTCCTCGTCACAGTATGATTTCCTTGATTTGTTTGATTTTATTTTGATGTGAGAAATTTCAGGTCAATGAAAAAAAACAACAAATAAACAAAGTTTAGCCTTTAATGGATAGGGGAGCACGTTTTACGTTATGCCTCTGTGAGTGATGAGCTGTAGTCTACTTTTTTTTAACCAAAGTGGTACTTTTTTTTTTTTAGTTTTGAATCAAGAGAAGAACAGGAGAAACCAGACCGGGTCAAGAAGAAATCCAGTCCAGGCCACTCAGAAGTCAACAAAGCAGACCAAACAGAAACCAGATCACCTCCGGTCTACAGCTTCACAGAGGTGAACTCTTCCATGCTGATGAAAAATATGTGTACCTGCGTGTTTGACAACAAGAGAAAGAAAAAAGCCAAAGAGACTCGATGATGGTTTACGACGGGGTTGGTCGCGTGTGTGTTTCTGAGTGTGGTTCTCTGAGTGAGAAGGTCCTCCAGTGGTGTTTCTACGACACTCCATTCACCAGCGGAGGAGCGTCCTGTTTTTCCTTCTTCATCCCTCGGTCCCTGACGGGTCTCTGATGGTGATGGCGAGATGGGCCCTCGCTGCCAGCACTGATGCCAGCCTGGGATGAGTTGGGACCTCCTCCTCGGCCTCCTGAGGAGTGCTGCACGCTGCGCTCATTGTTACCGTCCACGCGGATCTGTGGAAGACATGAAGAACGGCCTGATTTCACAGTCCACAGCTACAAGAGAGTTCTATGAAGGGTAAATGAACTTGGGCTTGTATAGAGCTTTTCTAGTCTTCTGACTACTCAAAGCACTTTTACGCCGCAGGTCACACCTACACATTCACCATCTCATCCATACACTGCGACGTAGCCGGAGCAATTTGGGGTTAAGTGTCTTGCCCAAGGACACATTGACATGTGCTGGCTGCAGGAGGTGGGGATCAAACCCCCGACCTCCCGGTTTAGAGACAACTGACTCTATCACTGAGCCACAGCTGCCCTTGGCACAAACGCATGGTCAAGGATAAATTGGGACATTTTCATCAAGCACCTCAGGATTACTCTGGGTATGCTTAAACTGTTTATTTTACTCTTAATATTTTGAAGAGTATTAAAATGTGGAAGCTATATATCCAAGTGAAAACAGGGTTATGCAGTAAATACATCTTTAATGCAATTCTTTGATTTTGTCCATATATGCGATAAGTTAATTACAAAGCCTGTACTTAATTTGATTATTTTTTAGAATCCAGTAACAGCGCTAGTGATTATTACTTAATCTGTGTAGAGTAGAAAATCAAGTAAAACATATTTGGTCTGACTTTTGGAATTAGCAGTAAACAACAACTGTAACTGAGGGAATGATTTCTAGTTCAGGCATTTTTACCAACTGGTATCATATGCACGTGTCTGGCAGAACGACATCACAACTTTTAAGCTTTTAAAACAGCGACAGGAGTAGATTTAGATTAAACAGGAAAGACTAGATGTTTTCAAAGGTTAAACATAGATTACCTCAGCAAGTCTGTGTGTGTGTGTGTGTGTGTGTGTTTCTTGTTAGAGGCAGACATGCACTGGAGGTGTGATGGAGGGCAGACTGACTTATTAATTGATCCGTGATGTCTCTTGTTTAGTTTATAACGCTACTCTGGACGTTTGTATGATCAGTGATGAGTGACGTCAGAGTGCAATTAATGTGTGTCCATTTTTTTACGCATTATTTTCTCTGTAATTAATTTATCAAATTAACGTGTTATTCTGACAGCCTTAATAATAAAAATTTTCTTGGTCTCTATCATTTTAATTATGAACATCAATGTGTTTCCTCTATAGTAACATGATTTAACAAAACACAAAGATGTGTTTGTGTGTGTGTGTGTGTGTGTGTGTGTGTGTGTGTGTTACCTGTAGTGTGTCTTCCGGCCCTCTTGGCTTGGAGTCTCTAACTTGACGAGGTCTCGGGTCGCTCCACTGGATGTCATCACCTGAGACAAGACGGACAAATCCTTGAGCTCCCCACGCATCATCCGCTTTATCCCTGTTCCTCTACACCTCATGAGATCACTTAAACCAACATGTTCTTGGACTAAGTGTTGGGTCAAATCTATGTGTTTGCAACACATCCAATAACTTCTGAAAAAGTTGAAAAGTCTAAATATAAATCTGCTTGAAAATCATGAATATTATGACTTGATTCATCCCAATGATCAAAACCCTGGTTTCATGAAAAACATCTCAAACGGCCAATTATTTTCTCTTCACTTGACTGAAGAGAATATCCTTTCATTAGCTTCATCTCAAAACAAACTGATTCAAAAAGCTGATCAAGCAAATTGAAGTTCCTACCAACCTTTATAACCTCCGCCTCCTCTTCCTCTCCCCCCTCTGCCTCGCGGCCCTCCTCCGCCCCCTCTCCTTCTCCCGTCTGTTCGTCTTGGCAGTGTCCCGCCTCCGGTCATTAGCTCCTCGGTGGGGGCTAGCGACCAATCACTGAGCTCCTCTCTGTGGTCGGACTCGGTCTCTGATGCATTAGACGCCTCTGAATTGGTGCCTTAAGAGTCGGGAGGACGCATTTTAAATTTCATTTAAACATTTAATTGAATAAACATAGACTTGTACGAGCATGTTACTCTAAAGGAGACATTTCTCATATTTTTTAGTCATCAAAATGTTATCTTATCGTACCTGAGGCAAAAGCTGCACCACCGCCTCTTCGCCCACGGCCTCCTCTTCCTCCTCCTCCTGCATAGGGCTTCCCTCCTCCTCCAGCTCCTCTACCACTCCCCAGCCCCCCCATGCCATTATCAAACACGTAGGTCTTGTCTTTGAGGTTCCGAGGTCCTGTCCCTCCTCCTCCACCTCCTCCTCCTCCTATCTGCCTGAGCTGCTCGTCAATCTGAAGGCGCTCCAGACGAAGCTGATCCACCTCCTGAAAATCAAGGAGTTAAATAATTATTACACCTAGTATATTTCAATACTTGAGTTTCACTTTGAGTTTCTTTTTAATCCTAATCAACCATCAACCAAGCCCAGTTTTTAAAACGCTATTGGAATACAACAATCAATTTGTGTTTGTTGAAGATTTCATGTTTAAATTAGTTTTTACTTTTTTTTGTACAATTCACAGTATAAATAGATAAAGGCCAATATTTGTGTGAGAGTCATTCTGTCACGTGATCATTGAAAGGAGAACTTCACAGAATAGAGGTTGAAAAATGTCTACAATCATTGTCTGTGTATGTGTGTACATTTTCAGTCACTGAGAGTTGCTCTTTGTCATACAGTAATGTTAGCTCGCTAAGTTAGCTAGGTATTGTTAGCGTACTCCAAAATACCCTACTTTGTCCATACATGATAACATACTCTGTAAACAAATGACATCAAATACTTTCTGAGGTAAACCATGACGCTTGCGGCTCATTGTTGACCCACTTATGAAAGCTTGAGGTAGTATTTCAAAAACTAAATTTCTTAAAAGGTGTTACAGATAAGTTAAAATGTTGAATGAGATGATATCAGCTACAGTTTGAGGAATACCTGGAATATCGGTTAGTGTTGACCCACTTATGTATCTAAGGGTTCTTATGTATTAATTCATTTTTCAGGCACGCTGTTGTAACTTCTTTTGTTGTCAAGCTTTATTGTTCTGGCTTGGTAATTATTAACAGTCTGAGACTTGTTATACACAGATGGCAGTAGGGCTGAAGGAGATATAGTTTTACCATTACACTTGTGATGGGCGCATGTGCAATAGTGATATTGAGGCACGTGTTTGACCTGAAGCGTGTCATGCTGCCTGTTTTGTTTGTTTTGATGTTATCAAAACTGCCAGTTTTCTAGTTTCCACGCCTAATCATGCACAATCTGTGTCACCCGCTTGTAAAGTGCTACAGGCAACGCTGCAGTCACAGACACATAAGCATGAAGTCGGAGGCAGAAGCTCAAATACAGATTTGAAATGAGTGTATCCATGCTACCAGCAGCACGTCGTCACGGTGCTCGTTGATGCTGTGGCCACATATTCAAAACCACTGACAGAGACAAAGTACTGCATGAATGTGACTCACAGGCAGCTCAAGACGTGACCTTTAGTTTGATTAGAGGTTACAATCACAGGACTGGTCATGTAGTCTAACCGTTAACTTTGAAATCATTAGGTGAGGTCAATGATGCTTAAAATGCACAAATGCAAGCCGCAAGTATATTTTTGTAAAGTTTAAGAAGAAACATGATGCTCCAGCTTTTCTACTCCTACTCTGCGGTGTGTGTGTGTGTGTGTGTGTGTGTGTGTGTGTTTGTCAAAGCCGCTGTCAGAGGGCTGGACCCAGTGTGCGATGAAAGTAGGAGGGGGTTTGGATTTGAAATCAGGAGATGACTTAAAGACCAAAACAATAACAAGTACATTATCTCATTTAAATGTTAATAGATGTACATAAAAAGAACCTGCATTCATCGGGTACTTTGTGTTTTCTAAAAACAATCACTGTATATATCGCAATGACAGTTCTTTCTTATATCATTCAGCCCTAAAAGGCAGCATGAAAAGCAAAGCACCCTGGGATAAATGACTGAAGGTAGCCTGATCAAACTCACCTTTAGATAGTTCAGGTGATAGTCCAGCAGGACAGTGGCATTGGTGATGCTCTCCTTTGTCCCAACGAACACAAATGGAACCATTCCCTGTGAAAGAGGATCAGAGAGAGAAGAAAGCATTTATTCCCAGGAGTCCATTCACTGATTCTCACTGTCCACCAGCAGTATGAAAGAAATAATCATTCATTCATCATTTAAGGAGAGTTCTAAGAAGACTCTCCGTCAGGTTCAACAACGTGTTCTTAAATGACTGAATTGTTTGCAGCTGTGTTCTTATCTCCTTGTGTTTGAAGTTGAAAGTGCGTGCCTGTTGTTCATGATTAGCATAGGTAACCACCCACTAATGCCCATAAAAGGGCATGAGTGCAGAGACCTGCAGACACACTTGGAGATGCCTTTCGGAGCGCTGTAGATGGTGCATACAAACACACACAGGGTCAGATGTCACCGACTCGCTGTCAAACGAACTGGACTTTAGGGTGAAGCGTGCTTGGGCACGGTACGGATTGCCTAGTGTGAGTGCGCCCTAGGAGTACTCGAGTGTTCATAACTTCTGTTCTTACCTAAGAAGAAATCCCACAAAAGAAAACATCGGTGAATCCCAGAATGTTCTGAAGTAGGATTTAAGAACAGATTTGATCTTAAGAACAGTTGGTGAATGAAGCCCAATCCTCTCACGCCTGTGGCTGCTAGTTTATCTTTGTGTGTGTGTGTGTGTGTGTGTGTGTGTGTGTGTGTGTGTGTGTGTGTGTGTGTGTGTGTGTGTGTGTGTGTGTGTGTGTGTGTGTGTGTATACATATGTATGGTTGGTGTTTAGTGCTTTTGAATCTATTTGTTCATTTTTGTATGATGGTTTGATTTGTGTCTGTTTGTTTTTGTCTTCTGTCACGTTGAGTTAACGTTTGTATGAAACGTGCTGTAAAATAAAACTGAGTTATTGGAATCAGAGGTCAGTCATTTAGGGGTACGAGAGTTAACCCTGACCCTTAAGCTTCGTAGGGAGAGACTTTAATCTTTTTTCTTTCACACTGACCTCATCATCTTCTGCTGCTCCTGCTGCCACCGTCACCGCCGCCGCCGCTGCCGCCACCCGCCGCACCTGCAGCCGCACCTGCAGCCGCACCTGCAGCTGCCAGGGGCTTTTTATCACTCTCAGGCTCAATACGAACACGCACCACACCAGATTTATCAACCACTTCCTGGATCAGTTTGCCATTTTTGCCTATCACCTTCCCTGTTAGGGCAAAAAACATATTCAGTCAGTCTGCTTCGACTTGGAAGTTTAGTCGTCTCTTTCATTCTTCCAATCCCAGGAGGGTTCTCATCGTGAAGGTTAAGCGCCATTCTCACCTACTAAGTTCCGGGGAACTTTGATGACGTCTTCAGAGAACTCCAGGTAGCTCCTGGCCATACGGACAGCCTCCTGATCCTATGACAAACAGCCAAGAGAAAACAAATCTGACTACACCTGTCTCTCAAGTTTAACTTGCATATGAAAATAAAGATGGGACAAGTTTGAAACTTGACCGCACAGATATACAGAACATACAGCATACATGGAATGTAAGAAACAGCACACTTTAAGGCACTCCTACATATCCGTATCGTACCTCTCCATATATGTGGAAGGTGCAGGTCTCCTCATCCAGGTCTATGTTAGTAACTCCAGGGACTTTTCTCGCTTGCTGAATGTTGGCCCCATGAGTCCCGATGGCTAGACCCATCAGATCATCCCGAACCACAAACTGTTCATGAAACCGTGACGCCAGCTGCCTTGAGCTCTGTGCAAATACAACAGAAGGGACAACGAGAGGAACAAAAAAACACAGGATCATTGGCACAACAGTCTGAGGAGGTGTTGATGACTGCTGTAGGCATAAAATGTAAAGTCAAACGCCTCCTGGAATAAAGTAGTTCTCTATTTATTATTGTTTTCAAATCTAAGCGTGTATTAAACTGTGTATTAAACTGGCATATCGACCACAGCAATATGTAACAACACTTGGCACAGGTATTTCACATTCACCTGCAAGGAGGACTCCAGAGTGGTGTTGTTAGCGATGCTAACGTTAGCCACGCTGGTCAAAGCTATTCTAAAGTGTTTACTGATGGCCAAATTTAACCTGCAAAGAACTGCATTTTGGTTCACTTCCCTTGTTTGGTCCGGTATGTGTTCTCCCCATAGACTGTAAATATTAATGGACGAAGCCTGAGTGATGTCACCCGGAGGCTCGTCAGCATCAGTCACCGTGCAGGAACTCCTGTCTCAACCTAACCTTCAGTCAACCTAACGACAGGCTGAGAGCTGGAGCTGAGGCCGGTTTTAAGCCTCTTTACGAACCATTACATCGCACTCACCTGTCAATTAGGTCAGCTATGCGCCTAACTATGGATAACACGTATCGTTGATAAAATCTAAACGGAGCCGTTTTTGTAAAAAACGTGTGTGCCCATGATGACAATAATTAATCAGACCTATTTAATTTATTTGTACCCAGCTGTAAACATGTTAAGTTAAGCTGTAAAAAACGCTTTTTTAGCTGTGGTGTGTATGTGACATCCGGGGCATTTGGAGCCAGCCTCAAGTGGACACTCAACGAACTGCAAGATTTTGCTATTCCACATTTCAAGTGGATTTTAAGCGGACTAGAGTTCTTTGACCCCCGCACCAGAGTTCATTTGAGCTTACACACCACCCCAAACCAAACTATCCGACAAAGCGTTTCAGAGTTCATTTCTAACATCTTAGGTGTGAATGCACCCTTACTCTGTTAGATGTATGAGAACAGAATTTAGGGGAGAAAAAAAGGTGTTTTTATTATATTCAGATCCATCGTGCTCTAATGATGATTACGTGAAATTATAAGCCTTATTGGAACATTTACACACTTGATTTATTTTCTCTGTTGTATCTGATTTTAGTCTGCTTTTTTTGTTTAACTTCTTCATATTTTCTAGTATAATCATTTGATCTGAGATTTTAAAGATATGATATGGTGATCTGCTGAAGGCAAAAATGTCCATGATCATGATAGCCTGAGTATGAACCAGCGCTTCCGTCTGTCCTGTAAGCACAGAACTGTGACGATGATGATGTCAAAGCTGCATGCATTCCTAACTTTGCAGAGTTAGGTCACACTGCAAAACATCCGATCTGTATCCGATTTAGGACCACATACTGAAGTGGCCCAAATCTGATTTGAAAAAATGTTGTTTTAATGATGTGCTTTTAACATCTGTCTTTCCATTTTTTATTATTCCTGTCCATTTGTCTGTTCTGCCACTGACAAGAGCTGCTAAACTGTTTTCGGTTGTTTTATAGCAAAGACAATAAAGATATTTACTATTCAGATTTCATGTGACTTGTGCGGTTCAAACTGTCGTAAAAAATCTGATCTGAGTCACATGTGAGAAAAAACAACAGATTTGGGTCACATCTGTCTTCAGTCTGATCTGCAGTCCAAGCCTTTAGCAACCTCCTGTCTGTTGTTTGTTAGTTAATGTATGAATGGTCTGGGTAGACTGTAAAAAGAAAAGCCCTATGGGATGAATAAAGTTGTCTGAACAGAGACAACTTACTGCAGAATAAACAGACTTCACACACACAAACAGGAAGGTCCATACACTAAAGGTGACAGTCTGTAAGCCTCTTTGAATGTCTGTATGTGTGTATATATTCACCTCCAGTTGTCTGCTGGCCTCTTCGTTCCTCAGCATGAGAGACAATTTGGTACGAAGGCTTCTGAAGTGCATGTCACTCATCATATTGGCCCGCTTTGTTGTGACCTCGTTCACAGACTGAGAGAACAAGAAGAGCTTAATTCACACAAACAGTTGGGCTTTCATGTTATTGATTGATCTTATCTGTAAATGATGTGAGATAGAGTGCGTCTGTCAGACTTGCCAATGACGAACAAAACAGATTTAAATGAAGTAAAGAAAGAATCCTTTAGGAAATAAGACATGTACATGTTTTCTTTAAAATGAAAGTTATTCAGTTACCAAAATGACCAGCTGCTTTTTCTCGGAGTCGTAGGTGACACTGAATGCGCCCACAGCCTTTTTAAAGTCTTTGTGTGCCGATTCCTTGGAGCACCTATCAACACAGAGTTACACAAGTAAGTAAGACTTTATTTATATCGCACTTTTAAAACACTCAGTTACAAAGTGATTCACAAATAAAAGCAATCAAACAATTCATACAGTGACGCAAATGTACATAAATAAACCACAAGAGTAGCGACAAGAGAGGGTTCTTCAGGGGTTACATGAAGGCTTGTCTGTACAGGTAACTTTTTAGATGCTTCTTGAAACTGAAGGTGTGTGGGAGTTGATTCCAAAGAGGGAAGGGTTAAAACAGCGAAGGCACGATCACCTTTTATTTTATAATTAGAGCGGGGGATGGAAAGAAGGCCAAGATTAGATGATCTGAGTGGATGAGGGGTGGGATACGGTAAAAGGAGGTCAGAAATGTAGCTGGCGAGGAAATCATTATCATTATTAATATTATTATTGAGGGACAAAGGCAAATAACTGCATGTGCAAACATGTGCAAGTGAAGCCCAGTCACAGCCATTTCAAATTAAATCTGGCTTAGAAAAATTGGATTCCTAAACATAAAGGTTTGATCATTTGCATGTTGTGTTGTCGGCTTTGACCGTTCATTTCTGTTCATTGAGCTGGTTCCTCTATGCTTTGTTTCTACTTCCACAGGGTCTTCCAGCACAGAGCATTAACTCCTAGTAAACATGTCAGTGCTTAATCTCTGGTTCCTTGAGTCCAAAAACTTCTGATAAAGAACATCTTACATTAACTTTGGTGTAATTGCTGGGTGTAACAGTGTGTGTGCATACTCACATCTGTCGTAGATCCTCTGGTACATCCAGTCTGATCTTGATGAAGGTGTTTTTGTTGGCTGGTTTATTTGGGTTGACTGGCCGTAACCGCTCCAGCGTCACTATCTCGTTTAATGTAGCATCACATGCAGCATACTCTATGACATAAAACTGGAGATACAGAGGCAACAGAGACATCAGAGTGAACTTTTTTTTAATATATTGTGAAAGTCAAATATGCACAAGAAACAAAGGATTAGAAAAGAAACACAGGAAACAACTGTGCTTCAAATAATATCTCAGTTTGAAAGATGGCATCTTACACATCTGTGGATTGTCGCAGCAGCCAAGGTGAAATAGCTTGGTATTTCCCACAACCCCACGATACGATGTGTATCACCATACAGAGGCCACGATACCATAAATATCGTGATATACATTGATTTGGATGAACAGCTGTTCTTTATTGTTGAGAATAACAGCAGGGGCATAATTGAACCTAAAACACTTCAATTCAGGACCTCAGAGATCCTAGAAATACTTCAAATATCTTAATCCCAGAGCTATGGCTATGGTTGTGAATTGCCCCATAGGTCAACTGTCTTTCAAACCGGTCCTCACATCTTGAAGCCGTACCGATTCTGACACATTTGCATCGATACATGTATTTGCAAGGAGCACATGAAATTGCCATATATTGCCATATCGATTCTTTGAGCACAGCCCTAGCCTAAACTACCAGTAACCAAAACATAGCGGAGGTCTTGAGCTCTCATGTCTCGTAGGTTCTTCGGGATCGTTGGCGGATGGACGGCCTGCCCACCATGGATTTCACTTTTACATACTTCATCAGAAATGATAACCTCATGATTTTCCTCTATTTTATGCTGCTCTATCAAGAACAATATAAACGTACTGATATGAGAACGGATGTTTTCGCCTTCCCGCTAATATCTGTTGTTCTGATTTGACTGTTAGCCTTTATCTTAGCGGTTCATTTTAGGACGATTTTGCAACCTTGATTGTGAAAGGGGTCTGAAGCCTACCTCTCCTTTGACCATGCGGACCTTGGCCAGCCACCAGCCACATGGCTCCTTGTCGTTAGCCCTGGAATACACCTAGAAACAAAGACACACAGAGTTAACTTTGCGATTTCTACTTTTCATCCAAACTGACATCAATACAACGGGGTACTCTGGCAAGGAATCTGAAACACAAGGTGTCCAAGGAGGTTTGGAGTCATAGTTAAGTTACCATAAAGCATGTATGTGACTATATATGTATGTATTTTTTTTTATCATATATAATCAGTATGGAAATGAACAAATTCAGTGCAGATTTGAGGATGTTTTGAATAAAGGCCATGTTCAATTTCTTTGCCATTTTTTCTGTTATCGGCTCAGCACATAGTATGACATTAATAATTAATAATATTATGTTTATAGAGATGCTCTTTTATTCAGTTCCGATACGATTCAGATACATTTGTACCTATAAGGGCTGGTTAAAAAATTTTTTATTCATCAATGCATTGCAATTATTCTTTTCCCAATATAATATAGATTCAAGAACATCCTGAGATCGATTTAATGTAAGGACCACTGGGGGCACTGTGGGTGCTGTGAATTCAGGTCACTTTACATATAGTTTTACAGCCCTGTTGTGTTTATTACAAATTTGCTGCAAATTCAGCTCAGACACAAATGTGCGTTAGATCATACTGTACTTGAAGCATATTGATCAATATCGAATGAATCGTGACCCAAATAAGTGAAATCGAATTGAATTGTTAGGTTGTGGACAATAGCCAGCTCTATAAGTCGTACTGGTATCTTTGGGGGGTTTCACAGAAAGAAAAAGTTTTCAACTGTCTTCCTGTGAGATGATTTTTATTGTGTTCAGTGAAGTCTACAACGTGCCGTCTCTGTGCAGCTGTGTCGCTCTTTTAGTTCAGCCTTTTTTCTCTTCATGGAGTTTGCACTCCTACTAGCTACATTACGGTAGTTGAGCTCTCAGCCTGCAGTGAAAGTTGTGAAGCACAGACCCCTCCCGAGCTCTCTGCTGGTCACTCTTTAACTTTTATATAGTCTTTTATATAGACTCGACAAGGTTTATTGTCCAACCAGTCTGGTCTGTGTCGCTATGTATCCCAATACACAATGAAACGCCAACGGGGATGAATTTTCAATAGCGTCACCTCACATGCAGTGTGTTGGTGATGGCGGTGCACCCTTGGTAAAAAAAAAGAAAAAAAAGGGGTGTGTCTGCATTTTATAGGCTACTGGTTCTTCCACTCATGACAGAAGCCTATCGCTAGTCATGATCCAAAGTCCATGCCCTGACTCTGAACGGACTGTGTACGGTAAAGACTGAAGCAGAAACAAGAACATCCACTCTCTGAGGTGTGGGCTCATACCATCATTATTTACCATTTCCACTTAATTTAAGTTGAAAAATTAGCCTCAACGATCTCTTTGGCCCACACACACTACATTCCTTTTTTTGCACTCCTACTATCCTGTATTTCTAATTAAATCCTATCTGATAGTAAAAACCAGTTTTCTTGATTCATTCACTTAGAACTTAATCAGTCTCACCTCGACCTCATCACTTTCGTTTATTTCCTTGCAGAACCCTGTTGGAGGAGGAAAACGCACATCCTGGAAAGGGATCTGACGTTCTGGTTGCCAGCTGTGACAGAGAAACACACACAGAAGACAAAAATGAGCAGGATTTACAAGATGATGACAGTATGTTATGTTTTGTTGTGTATGTGCATTACTCACTTGTTTTCAAATGCCACAGTGACGGATCCTTCATGAACATCCTTCACAAAGGCCTACAAGAATTACAGAGGTGACAAAACAAAGGTAAGAATAACAACTACGAGACAAAGCTGTACAAATAATCAATGCAGCTTTGTACTGGCATCAAGCGTGTAAATGGGTACATTTTTTGGCTTCTCAACCGTGACTCACACCCCAGCAGCTTTGGGCTTGAGTCAGGTTTGGCTCTGCCACTATCTGGTAAGTCAATGTGTGTCAAGTAGAGCAACTAGGACATGCAATGCCTAGAAGGAAAAGGAAGAGATAGAGAGCCTAGGCTAAGGGTTGCAGTAGCCTGATTAGCTAACAGTTAACAAAAAGGAAACCTTTTTACCCAGGGCTTCTTAAAACGGGTGGCGTGCCCACTGTGGGGACACAGAAACAGGAAAGGGGAGACAAATGTGGCTAAGGGGAACATACTGTGTGCAGTGTTTCCCGCGCATAGACCCGGGTGTGCTGTCCAGCCTCCAAGTATACTTGCCGACCATTTTTTTCCCCCTGGCCCTCCTATATAATCGCGATCTAAAATCATTATCTTTTGTCTCTCACAAAGCTCCAGGGGGCGTGGCCTCAGAGCACCAGGCGAGGGGGCTTGAGACGAGAGGCTCCAGGCTCCAGGCTGCAGCCATACACTCTTGCCCAAACCTCCATTGACACAGTCTAGTTTGTTAAAATTTGCATTTTTATTATTATTAGAAGTGCAAAAACAAAACTAAAGTCAATCCATATAAAACTAAATACCGGTATGAAGTATACATAGACCACTTGTGTACAGAGACATGCGTGTAGAGATATTCTGCAGGGCTTCAACATTGCAGACACTCAAGAACTCTCTAAATCCTCCATATGCCTTATCCATACATTTATACAGGTTCAAAGAAATGGGCAAATACATGCAACTGCAACAGAGAGTAAGGAGATAAACGTCTGAGGCCATCCGGGACCACAGAATACTTTTTAGTGGACATGATTTATGTCAAACTGTGAGGGATGCCAGTGTTGTGAAAAGCAAAACAAACTAACACAACAAGTTAAAAAATGTTTTAACTGGTTGTGTTACCAAACTCTGATCAAGTACAAAAAGAATAAAAATAATCCACAATAACCTTCAACCCATTTGGCCCAGTCAAACCCTGTGTGGGCTAAATTTACCACTTCAGAGATTAGCATACTGGATCTTGGCATCAAAGTCCACTTTATTACCAAATCCAGGAAATGTACATCACCAGCATGGTCAGGTTTACCTGTATCCTATATAGCTACATCTGTGAAGTCACACACTTATGCATCTGGACAAACCATGAAACACTGATCAAATCTCAAAACCAGGGCCTGAAAATAATTTATCAACATGCCACACAGTAAACTTTGAGCCATTTAGCCTGATACTTCACAGGTTAAAGCAGAATATGAATGGTGATCCAAAAAAATTCCCATGAGGCATCCCATGCAGTAACCTAGATGCACTACATTAGTAATAAAAGGGAAAGAAATATGATTTTAAGAGTTTCTTTGTGCCATGACTTCAATCCCACAGGAAGTTAGACATTTCAATTGATACTGAAATGTTTATGTATTTTTCACTCATTTACATGCCTCATATTTGATCAACCTCCTCCAAGGATATGTATTTAAACAAGATGAACCTTTTATCAGACAGCTTCACAAAAACAACATTAAAGATGCATCAATTACACCGTCGCCATTCATCAGGAACATCGGCACCAAACGTTCATTTAATGACCAGGGCAGGGCAGTATGACTAAAAAAAAGTATCACGATAAAAATGTTCACATCAGTCAATGTCGATGATTATCACGATAAAAGACAAATCATTATTTTTCTGAAATTTAAAGGCTGATTTTTACTCTCGAGTGAAAGTTGAAGAAACCAGATGGTTAATTGTGATTACATTATTCTTTAAAAAGACAAACTCTACTTGAACAGAGGAACATTTCACAATCATAAAGACAGTGCACACTGCTGGATAATTATCGTTGTTGTTTTATTGTCCAGGCCTAGTCCCAACCTAAAGAAATCTACATGCTGACATCTAATCACGATCATTGACCCACCTTCTGGGAGGAACAAGTTAGCCTTAAATGACTGACATCATTTGAGGGTGATGATATGAAACAAACTACAACATTTTGTTATGAAGCAGTGCAACTAAATTAAGCCACTGAAGCCTTTCTGTAGCACAGCCTGTCTATATGAGCGTTTCACTTAACAGCAGAAACAAGTATAATTGGCTGTACACGATCTAGGTCAATTCCTGCATAACATAAAACACACAGATGTATATTTTGTTATGCCGGTGTTTTGTTGAGTTTTGCTCAAAAAGGGTGAGAGGCGGAGCAGCGTGAAGAAGGACAGTGAGAGGAGAAATGGACAACTCCAGCTCTATGTTTACATTGTTAATTTTAATGCAACATACGATATCCATGTAATAAACAATACCTTCTTATCTTGTCACATGTTTGAAAACACATCAATACATTTTAAAACTTGACATAAATGTTGCCCATCAGCAGAATATTTACAGACATTAGTACCTGTACACCTGGAGTGACAACACCTTGAGTACTTGAATGTAGAGTAACTGATTACTCAGACTCACTACTATACAAATAGCCGTAGCTTGCAAATCAATGGACTCCACTCTGTTGATTTAGTTGACTGTTTCAGAGTGATAAAAGTGACACATGTGTCTGATATCAGGGAAGAGTATGTTAAAGTGCTTCTTTAACAACTTTCAAGCCTGTCCAATAGGATCAACACAGCCAGGTACATTAACATCTACCAAACAATCAAATAGCAAGGCTCCTTGCACCTGCCTAGAAAAACACACACTCCCATCGCAGCTCGTCCTTGAGCTGTAGTAAAATGTTTCTGACATCCACTCACTCATTGTCCCATTTGTTGACTTGTTATGAGCCTGGGAACCTCTGCAGCTCTCTAATGAAACAAGAACTACACTACAGCGTGGGGAAACTCCAAAGCATAGCAAAACAGAAACCAAATTCGTTCCTGTTATTCGTAAATAAAGTATTACCCTGACTAACAAATGATCAAATGTCTTAAACCAACTCCTGTCCCATCACTGGATCACAGACTGTAAACAATAACGCTGCTATCGCATCAAAGTGTCCAGGTCATCTCCACACAGTGATACAAAAGGGGGGGAAAGGAGAGATAAAAGCAGTGATGTGATGAGCAGGAGTGCAGTGACAGCTTTGTTTACAGATCTTCATCCTTCACGTCCCGGAGGCTGGACGGACGCGCTGAGGCCCGGACAGACGTTTCCATGTCACTCAGCCAAAACCTTTACGCGGTAAATGACACGATAATGTTTGGGGGAAAAAAGTAAATTTCTTACCTTGTAAAATGCCCCACTTGTTCCCCTCACTTCAACGACTTGTTCATCCATGACGTAAGTAACCACAGCTCGCCAGCTAGCCAACTACCGTGAGCGACTTTAGTAGCTAGCTAGCTAGCTGGCTAGCCCGACGCTAGCCTCGGAAGACCCTGCTGCCGCTGGTTTTCAGCCCAAAACAGCCTCCGAGCTGGAGTCAGGAAGAGGCCACGATGACTGTATTTGACCGTAATGTTGTTTCCCGTTTGGCACAGTCTATGAATTTTGCCTGTGTTTCTTACAGATTTGACATTGCGGATGTAAAATTAATGAAATTCGAGGTCTGTAGCACGCTGTATTAGCATGCACTGTCTGGGTTTGTTAATGTTGTGTGATTGGTAGTGAAGCAGCTACTGCAGGTTGCATTTTCCATGTGACGTCTTCGCTCTCTTCTTCTACGGAAACCGAAAGGCTGTTTACGCTCACAGCAAGCTGTTGCTGCTCTCCACAGGCAACGCGGAGGAATGCATGTTCACAACTCAGGAGAAGTTATCTTATTAAAAATGTATATAGCCCCCCCCCCCCCACACTCACAAATGACCTCATCACGTCTCCTAAACTAAATTAATTCTCAAGAATGAGCCCAATAAATCGCCCTGAAACAGCATCGTTGTGCAGAAGTTATCTGGTCTTGTCTAACTTTTGATTGACTTTATTATTCTCAAGATATTTGGATATATATATATATATATACATAAATATACAAATATATTTCCATACCAGCTTTCCCGTTCTTAGCTCTTGAAATAGCCTGACATTTGTTTTAAATTACAGTGATTAATCAAATTCTCTTGATAGCTGATTTACAATATCAACACATATTTAGACAGAAAATTCTTACCTCTCAGATTATATAAAAAAAATCTATAATTTTAAGAATTTAATTTTCTAACAGTGTTTTCTATGATGATGCAAAGGGAAATTATAGATCCATGCAATTAGTCTTTATCACTGATGACTTTATGGTACTGTTGAATTATCTTCATCATAAACAGGAAGAAAATGCAGTGAATAACTTTTCAGACTTCACTTTATAGATAGATAGGTATAGACCTGGAGATGTCTGCAGGCCAATAGTCTTTATGTAAAAATACACGCATCTTAACTGCTTTCTGTATGGGAGCAAAAAAAATCAACAACCCTACATTGGTAAATAACTGTGGGAAATAAGAAGTACATCAGTGATGACTGAAAAGCTCACTGTGTTCATTCTTAAGACGAAGATGTATAAGCACTCAGTGAAAAGTTAAGTGCTAAGCTCCAAAAATGATGATCTGAGACAGGCAGAATTACTTCAGCAGTTTTATCAGAAGTCTGTGAGATTGTAATGACGACAACGTTACAAGTGAATTATATTATTGAAAATCTGATACAGTAGAGAACAATAGTAAACTCATAGGCACACAAATAGTCAGTTTGAAACAACAGAAAATTCACAACCAAAAACGGTCAACTCAGATTTAGCTATCCTCATAAAATTCAGACAAGAAAGTAAAATATAGTAAGATGAGTGTTAAGGCGTTTTTTCTTTTGAAGGAGAAACTTGACATATTTATTTTAAACTAAATGTTTTGAAGATGAGACTAGATTCAATGGACTGTATGAGGATCAGATGTCTGTCAAGAAGCATCCTTGAAGCTGAAAAGTCAGCGAGCAAGAGCTGCTGTGCAAAAAGAGCAAAAACAGAGCCATATTAATTCTAATGATCTGAAATAAATAAATAAACCGTCTATCCATCAAAAAAAAAGTTCACACAGGTTCCTGTAGATTGTCTTGGAACATAACCTAATTCAGAGACAGGCTTTGTTAAACTTTTGTGATGGAATTAAAAATACAAATTTATAAACTAAAACTGTAATAGTTGAAGAATCATATAAAGTAAGATAAATACGTTTTTTTTTTTAAACAAATAACATTAAAAAATATGTTCAAGCGTGGTCTGTTTACAACTTTCTTGTCTCTTACTCGCCAACATTTCCAATTAGTTGATTATAGATTTTGTTTTGCACTGTGTTTTTTTCCACTGTAAACTTCAATCTGATACCGTAATGCTTCTGTTGTGGAGGGGAAAGAGTTTTTTTTTCGTGCAATAGTCCAAAGTAAAAATATATTCTGCATACTTTCACACAGGACACGGAAAATCAGCAAATATTCCCATTTCAAGCTGAAATCACTTTAACAGTTTTCAAACTAAACTCACACCATGTATTTGTTGTTTAACTAGCCCAACTATTTCAACTTCCTGCACAACTTCTCAGGACTGTCTGATCACACAAGCACCACATCCCCATACTGGCCTCGTGTTCTGCTGATTCATTTATATCCATTCCATATTGAGACGTCTCACAGATCACAACAAATACCCGACCATATTTGAAATGGGTAAGGCATCCCTTTAACAGTAAACACTGCATTTTAAAAATAACACGAATCAAATGCAAAAATGACAGCAAGATATTTTTTTATGAACAAAACATAGAAAAAAAGGAAGGCAGGAGAAAACATTTGCATTATACATTTTAAGAGCCGGATAAAACACAATGAGTCATGATTTCAAAATGACTGTTACATGTTAATAACAAGGATAACCAAACGCTTCCCTCTTTTCAATAATTTCCATCAAAGTTAAATGTTATCATACTCAGATCTGGTAGTTTATGAAGATCATATAGACATGTTATTATTTTTCTTCTCATTAATTAGCTTGTCCAGCTTTCTTACATGTATAATGGTGATTAATATGTCATGTTATGCTAATCTAATATCAAACAAAGCAATAGATTTTTTTTTTTGCAGGTCCACAGTTGTAGAGTTTTACCCCTTCTCTCATATACATTGTAATTGGATATGATCCCGCCTCCCATCACTCCTAATTCATGTGTCCTTTTGCCCACTTATTTGTCCGTGTAACACAGAAATTTAAATGAAGAATGAACTCAACCTGATAAAGCTCTATGAATTTCACTTGGACTTGCACAGTGTTTAAATTGCTTAAGTATATGTATTGTAATTCATCAGGAAACCAGTGTGAACTGAACACCAAGGCCCCGAGGTGTTATGCTGGGCTGTGGAGTCAATTAGACATAGTGGCCAAACATGTAACTGCAGCCTCTGGGAGAGTCATCTACTGCACACTTTCCCTTAAAACGGCATTTTCCCAATATACTTTCAAAATGAGGAAAAGACGTGTTAATTGGCTAATATTGAGTAATATCTCAGTGATACTAATGTAGAAAGCACAGACAAACAGCTGTTACTTTGACTGAATTGGGAGTTAATGTGGCCTACTGTATATATTGAAATATTGTGCAAAGGCTAAATCTTTTTGTATTTCCCCACAAAATGAAACCTGGATAAGCCACTCTGCTAAGAGGCATGGAGAGCACATGTTTACATCAAGATCAAAAGTTCCCCTAAATGACATCGACATTTCTCGTTCAATGGGTAAAATGAATTTACAGCTTATAAGATAATATGTGAAATGATGCCTGATTACCTCAAGCCAGTCCCTTTTTCAGGAAACCTTGTTGCCAAGCTCTTCTTGCATAGGTCCTCTGAGCTTACCTAAGAAAAATCCCATTAACCTTTTGGTTCGTTTTCTTATTGTTCATGTGGTATGTCTCTGTTTTCACACATGCACTCCCGCAAAAAATTCTAGAAATTTTCAAGAAGGCCTGCACCTGATATCTTCCTGAGTTGCTTATTCACACATACCTCATAGCTTGAAGTGACAGAGATCAACACTATAATTGCCCCTAAATCCATGCTACGTGTATTTGGTCATATTCACAGTATCTCATGAATGAAGGAAAGGAACATACTGGTGAGCTGAAAAGAGTATGTAGCTGCTCTATAACGATGACCGCACAGGTCGCAAACTGATCGCATGATATACACAATTTTACCCCCCATCTGCTAAACCACAGTGATTTTTCCTGAACATTTTCAATTTTTTTTCAAACAAGCTGGAATTTAACTCAGGGGCTGGCAGGAAAAAGTCTGGATAAAGTCCGTTTAAAAAATACATGCAGCTCACCCTGAAAATGTTGTGAAATTTTCAGGAGTTTAGTGCATGTGTGAAAACAGCTTCACTGTGATTTAAGGGTCAACTGCTAAACTTGTGAAGGGTGGACCTACTTAGATATCAGGTCAATTTAAAAAAAATTAGACCGAAAGATTGTCATTCATCCTGTCCAATAGTCCATATTTTGACTCTTAGATATGAGATCATCCCAAGTGGGCCTATGCTTATTTTGCCAGACTGATTTCTCCTAAACAAGACAGATCCAGCTTTTTAAGGCAGAAGATAAATGTTGGGAAATGCTGCTTTCAGTTGCGGTTGAAGATCGATAAGGGTGTTATAATAAACAACAAACTGAAGGAGGCTTAATATAAAAAACCTTTCTTGAGGATACCCAAATGATTCATATGAAGTGTAGTATTTTCCTTCACTCTAGGCAGACTGAAAATATTTGATTATGTGTCTACATATCCATAAATTAATTGAAATTATATTTGTTTATACTGCAGTCAAAAAAAGGCAACATAGTTTTGGAATTGTTAATCATACCCCTAAAAAATGTGCCTATTTTCTCTGTATCTCCACATCCACATTCCTTCATTGCCCCATCATTATGAACAAGTCTATTGATATGTCAGTCCCTTGCAAAATCCTAACTCCATATCCTCAGCTTCTAGAAGCACAATGCTTTGAGTTCCAGGCTCAGCCCCTAATCCTCCTCCTTAACCAAGAAAAGTTACCCTTGGTATAAAAGACATTCTTCATTTATTCTTCGTCTTCTCCTCTACTCTGACATGCACAGTTTTCCTTCTCTCTCTCCATTTATCATGCCTCACACTTGTCCGTTTCCTCAACATGGACAATTACTCTTTGTTTCAGTCTCTTGTGTGAGTTGGACTTTCCCATTCTCTCTCTGCACATCTCTGTAAAGCAGGGATTTCTGGGCTTTTAGGCGGCAGGCCAGCGCCATGAAGATAGAGTCGACGTTTTGACTCTCCCTTGGGTCCTTAGCTGACGTCTCAAACAGCAGCATGTTGTGGGCATCAGCAAACTTCAACGCGGTGTTGGAAGGCACCTGTGAAAGCACAATTTCTTGGTTGCAGACTCAAATGAATATAGGAAGGTCTCATATTAGTATAAGTGGGTTCCTTTTTTGAGTTCACTCACCTGTATTTGGTCCACAAGATCACACTTGTTTCCTACCAGGACTCGAGGTACTGATGCTGAGACGCGATGGCCGTTACACTCCTAGAAGACAAGATTATACAGTATTTAAAAACATACTTACCTTCAGTGGATTTATTTCGGAAGTCCTTTTAACATCCTATAGAATCCTCGGGAATAAAATAACTTTTCGACT